AGTTAGCATGCTTTGCAAACACAAACAGTGGATTAACTGTGTTTGACAGTTTAATTAAGAAGCTTGAGTGCAGATTAATATTGTAGCTCTGCGTGTAGCACGTTTGTGGCTCTGAAGTTAATATTCGGAACAAGGCTGAGGCCTGTTTCCCCTTTTGTGGAAACTGGACTGTTGACAAACTGTCTCTGTTGCAACACGGTGAGAAAATACCATCAGTGGACAGTCAGTGGTTATATTCTGGACAGTAGCGCTTAGCCTGCTCATTCTGTATTACAAAACGGTCCGGCTGCACCTCAGTGTCACTCTGATATACAGAAAGAAATATTTTAAACCAATCACAAGGCTGCAGCTTCATAGTTCCCTCAAAAATAGTGACAGGCAATGTGATTAAAATGGACAATCCACCAAAAAATAGCAAAATAACAGGGATGTGACACTGCAAGATCCAAATCCTGTGCAAAACTTGATTTCTTTTCAGAGTGGTAGGTTGCTACCACAAAGGTTGTTGTTGTTTCCTGGATTGAAGTGGATTGTAAGATGAGATAAAAGGAAGGTATGCTAAGGTATGCTAAGGTATCGCTCTGACAGCAAATTATATAACATGAGAATAAATGCAGTTCCTAATAGAAGACAAAGCAGTAAGATGTACAAGTATGATACACTAGTAAACATTTAAAAAAGTATGCTGAAATCAGCCTCGCCTTGGTGTGGAACAGTGTTTAGATGGTTGGTACATGTCAAAGTAGCATCCAGAACATTGCACTGGAGCAAGACGATGTCATTCTCTTCACCTCTCTGTGGTTTTAATGTTATATCTGATTTATATGTATTAAAAATAGACACAACTGTTTAAAAATGAACAGTTGGCTGTTGAGAAAAGGGGAAAAGCATCATTACAAGTAAACCTGGCTTTATGCTTTTGTGGAAATAAAAACAGTAAATTGTCGCGACCACCTTCTTCTGACATATTCTGGATTAAACATGTTTTTCATTTAACAATCTCTTAACTCCTCGTTGTTTATGACAATTTTTTCGTCTGTTTTGAAGGAATGTTTTTATGTCTAGTTGCTGCAAAGCCTTGTCGCTTTGCATTTGACTTCTACAATTCTACAATTTCATTTTGGAGACGCTTTATCCAAAGCGACGTATATCTCAGAGTAGATACATGTCACTGCCTGAACTGTATGAGCATGTGACAAATAAATCAAAACTATTCATCTTGAAGAAATTTTAACTGACACCAAAGGAAATCACCAGTACCAAGATGTTAGGAAACAAAACATATCCGTATATTTTAATCAGTTTTCTTAATTGTGGTTTCATTTACTTTGGCATTATTGATGTTTTTGTGTCATAAATTTGGTTTATTTGTTTGGAAATCAAAAGCACCTTAGTAAAACAAGTGCTATGAGATGACATATGTTGTGAATTGGTGCTCTATATGTATATAAAAAATGATTTGAGTTTAATTAAATGGTCAGAAAATAACCAGAAAAGCGTTGATTTCAATCAGTGATGGTAACACACACTCATTTTTTTACTGTATGCAGACTGACTTTGCTAACTTTCATGCATCGTCACCACCCAGCGGCCCGTTTTAATCAGGAAAAACCTGCTCTGTCATTTTCATTTTCTAAGAATCTGGTAGAATAGACAAACCGAGCTAACCTGCTTCAGCTAAAACCCATACAACAACATTTAGCACAACATGTCTCGTGCTCATTTCTTCCCAGTAAACCTATCAGTCCATCTTACTTTCACTTTGATGCTCAGTCCAGCTCTCTGGACACTCTGACCAGAGATGCTCTTTTCTTTTTGAGTGAGATATGACCGTTACACTGGCAACCAGAACCTGGAGCTTTCCACTGTTTCCATCTGCAGGCATCAGCGTTTCCTCATTAAAACCTGAGTGGAAATCTACAATTACACCTCTTCTTCTCTCCTCAACTCCAGCACCAACTCAAGTGACACTCCCCCCCGTCTCCCTCTCAACCCCAAACCATCCCCCATTTTCAGCTCTTTTCGAGCTAATTACGTCTGACCACGATCGCAGGCCTTATTTCTAAAGCCCTCCGATTTAACCCTGATGCCCCGACGGACCGTATTTAGCAGCGTTTCAGTAGAAGCAGCCATGAAAGGCAGAAAAATGTCCAGGAGCATCAGCGAGTCTCTCAAGTGCAAAAGGGGAAACCTAATCCCACCGTGGATGTGTGAGCCGGTTTTAAAAATAGACTCTTTAAGGGAGAAACCGTCTCCGCTCACCTCTTTGTTACAGGATCGAACCATTACTGGTGTTAAGTCAAGAACAGAAAAAAAGTGTTGGAGGGAATTTCTAGGATGTCACTGTGCTGATTTATTGATGATGCTGGCGTATGTGAGCGAATGTCCACGTGCTAACGCTGCTAATGATGCTAAATCTGAAAATACATCAGCTCTGGCCTCGTTTCTTACTGAACCAGCGTTTTTCACAAAACCGAGGTGCTGATTTATGATGTTTATTAAAACTGTTGACCCTGTTTCTTCATAGTGTGTATTCATACAAGCTGTTTTTCTATACATAGGAATTATCATTTTCATTTTTATTTTATTTAAGCACCCCTGAAAATTTTCGAACATCATTTTAGATTTTAGAAAACATGAGAATTTTTAGAAAGAAAAGAAAATCGAATATAGTTTTTGAAAGCACTGTGATCACATTTTTACTCACTCCAAACTCATTCCTTGCTGCAAGTTAAAGTCCTGTATCGCTATTAAAACAGCACAACTCAAAACTGTCTTTTGTGCAGTTTATCATAGTTATAATGCCACAAGTCATAAAAAACAGTGAAGCAAAAGTTGAATTTCTTTAATTATTTATTTTAACAAAAAATGAAAAAAAAAAACCTGAACTCAACATGTACAACATTCCAAAGCGCTATGAGATGACTGTTGTTGTAAATATGCGCTATACAAATAAAATTGAATTGAATTGAATTGAACATTTTTCCAAGTGCCAACAGCTGCTACCAACACTGGGGGAAAAATTCTGACTTTACATAATATGGATGTTTTACTATTTACATTTTAAATGAGCTTTCGTACCTCTCTCTTGGCTGCTTCGTGTAAACACAGCCTGCAGTTCAACCTGATAGTTCTTGAATTTTTGTCAGGTGACTGTTTGTCGCTGCTCAGTCACTAATGGCTTCTGGTGTGCGCTAAAGAATGCAGAATTTTTTAGTTTTTTACAGAATCTGTTCAGTGCAAACGGTGCATTTTTGGCAATTTTCAGAATGAGATGTACAGTAACGTGAATCTTTTTGTGAATATCCGGATTTCAACAAAACTGCACGCAACACACGATTACTTCAAGGACCGTCGGAAAGTTGAAAATCACACCATACTTTATCTTTTAAACCTGACTGCATGTTTTCATTATTGTCTGTTGTAATAATAATAATACTAATGATAATAATGGTACTTAGGTGTATAATCAGCAAACCATTTGTGTTTTCACTCCTTATATCTTTTTATTTTCTATAACCAGAATCATTCATGTAACAACAATTACTGCTAGAGCACTTTACTGACTGTAAACTCTGGTAAATAATACTTAGTTGGAGCAGATTAAATACTATTTTTGCATCTGTGGGGAACAAAAAAAACAGGTACAATTCTGATTAGATTATTTTATTCAAAATTTCTATTTCGCGTTGGTGAAACTTGAAATGAGAAGCAATATTTGTACTTCAAATGCAGCTGCTGCGCTAAGATAAACACGACCAAATATGATGTAACTAAATGAATTTTAAATCATTTTGCAACTACAACAAGGAACCCTTGAGGATCCAGTAACTTTATATGTTACATTCGAGGAAAAACGACTGTGTTGTCAATGCTGAATAGGAGCCGTGTCCGTGTGACTGCAGTAGCTGCTCACTGAGTTTAAATCCAGATTAAAGATTCATTATCGCCAATATCGAAGTTTTGCCTCCCGGGCAGCAGCAGCCTGTTAACCTGTCAGCACCTGGTGTAGACTTTCAGCTCAGTCATGCTCAGTCAGCCGACCTCCAGCTCCACTGGAAGCAAACTTTCCCCTTTTATGGACATTTGGAGGAGTTTGTTGGGTTCAAATGTGTTTGCATGTTTGGAAATATCATTTTCAGGATACAGTGAGGTATAGAAGGGTATTTCAGTGCCAACAATGGCAGCAAATACTTCATATAAGGATGTATAGAAACGTTGAAAGTTCATTAAGTGTTTAAGAAATTAATTATAACCTCATTAGCTTCACACTCTCAAGGTCTTCATCTGTCAGATACGATGTAGGAATAAAGTCACAGACGGTGTGCTGCTCTGAATTCCAAGAGGCTGTCTCTGCTTTTAAAGAGAGCTTTTTTACACACAACAACAGACCTACTTGAATCCCTGCCAAGTTTAGAGGACACCTACACCGGCTCTGCTGTTTCCTCCTCCCAGGTGAGGGGGCTAAACTCTGGCCTAATTAAACCGCCGTCTGCTCGGCCCGGTGCTGCTCCGCTCAGTTTAGACCCAACTTTGCCTCTCAGGAGTCGAGCCAAAGTCGAGCCAAGTCAAATTTATCTACAAAGCACAGTTTAAAAAGAAATAAAACAAGCAAGAGCTGAACCAAAGTGCTGTAAAATCCAAACAACGGGTCGTAAAACACAATGAACACAATGACTACTGATGGATGTGAATGAAAGTATAATAAACTTAAAGTAAAATAAAAGGTGAAATCAGGGTTTTGAGCTCTAGTTTGAATGAGAAGAGCAGTTTTTACATTAAATAAGCCTCAATTATTTCTGTTTTTTTGCCTAAATAAGAAAACATTGAATAAAATCTGCTTGGTCGGCCTCTAGTCTTCTAACCAGATGATGTACCAATGAGCTCTCTGTGCAGCTCTGTCTTTGCTCTGCTGTTTTCTGTCCCTACCTGTGCGCCAGGTGAGGACTCCCTATCTCGAGCCAGCATTTGAATACATTTGTCTGTGTGTGTTCTGACAGGAGGCCGACGGGGATGACAGACTCGGCCTGTCGGGCGACGCCGACGGAGAAGGCGACTGCGACCCCAAGGCGGACACTCCAGATGTTCCTCTGTCCACAGCAGACACAGACAACACTCCAAATTGCCTGAACAAAGCTCTGGAGGGGCTGCCGCCAAGGTAACCGCCCCTCAAACACACATACTCACGGGAGACGGACGCCGGCAGATGCTGCTAAAGGGCATCCTGGAGGTGTCACTGCTCAGAAATGTCACACAGTTTGCTCCTGCTGCGAGCCACGTTACGAAGATCTCATAAAATCTAAGTTTGTATCGTCTCGTGAGAGTCGGTACTCGCCCAGCAGGCTTCGTACGATGTGGTAGTAATCCAGTAAAAATGAATGAACAGAGGTCTGCTGTTTTTGAGCAGTCAGAACGAACGATTACAATTTACGAGGAAGACATTCATGCTGCTACAATCCAGTGTCAGAAATAGTTGTGTAACAAACAAAAACAGACATCAAGATAGATTCAGAGCAAGAGAGAGCTCCAAGGAAGTTATTTGTCATTTGATTGTACTTGTCACAGCCACCCTCAGCAGAAACTACAAGATTAAACATTTCTTAGAATACTAGTAGGTCAAATTTCACATTTCACAGTCCCGCCGCTCAGCTTTTTCATTTTTCCTAAAGTGCGTCTAAACGGTGCAGCTCAGGTGTCTGATGGATTTTACCTGAACCAGAGAAGCCCGAGGTCCTGTTCAGATGTACGTCAGCCGTGATATTGCCGCACCAAGCAGTTTTCCCCCCTCCATCCATCGTGAGGTGACCCCTGGCAGAGTGATTGATCACGTTTCCGGTTTGCATGTAGGTTAATTGGACCAGAAATAGATTGTAACCCGGGGAGATGTTTGAGCATGTTCTTAATAATGCAGCGAAGGAAACGCACCTGTTAGTGAATTTACAGCTGACCAAAGGGAGTTCTCTGAGCGGGTGAATGGGTTCAGTACATTCATGACCACGTGCAGGTTGGATGTCTGAGCATTTGTTCACAAATACAGGATTTTATGTTGTGTTATGGAAATGTTAGCTTGTCACCCACAGTGTTATTATATTATTTGCATGAGCGTATAATGTTCTATATGATCAGCTATCATCGGTGTCATCAAGCGTTTGCTTTCTAGGATGTTGGTGAATTTTTGTGCACCAATTTGTTTCTTTTCTGCATCAATTTACTGTCAAAATGTGTGTATATGTAAAAGAAAATACAAAATTCTGGCACCAGGCGACAATTATAATAAGACAACCCTTTACTGATCCCACAGCAGGCACATTTACAGTCAAGTATTTGCAGTTTTTGAGAAAAATAAAAATAAGAAATTCCAATTTTGCACAGATTCCTCTGAATATGGAAAAAAATATTGCACAAGATAATTCTATATGTAAAAAACAACATTCATATTAAACAAATCCTTCCATGAGCAAAAAAAAATACAGATTTTGAATTTTTTTTTGGTATATTTAGTAAAAATTGAGTCTTTTAAATGTACAAAATATTCATAATATTCAGGTTTTAATGTGTTGATGTTGCACCACAGTGATATATGATAGTTGTTTGTACGTGTGGTCTAGTGTGAGCAATAACAAGTCAACATATAATGCAGCAAGGTTATTAGCAATTCTATACTGCCTTAAAATATTTATTCTCCTGTACATCGACTCGTCTAATTTAATATTATCGCTGCTGAGTGAACAAACAACAACGCAGGCTTGATTTACTCTTCTTCCTTCTTATGTGTCTTTTGTTTAGGGAGATTAATCTCTTCACACGTGCGTGTGGCGTATTTTCCAGTCAATGATTAATTAATTCCTCTTAATTAATTGATAAACCTTTAGCCATTGACAGCTCAGATGTGTTTTAGCAGGATTTCTGGCTTTAACTTTCTGCACAAACTCACTAAACTTTTTACTCGAATGTGCATGCTTTAGATATTTGAGTGCTATCTACTTCAGGGATCAGTGTGTGTTTGAACAAACACATTGTCAGCAGTGACAGTTGTGGTAGAAATAGTTTGTAGATGTTAAGATAAACAAGGCAGTGAAACCTGTGAGAGTAAAAAAAATGTTCTCTTAGAATAATCGCTGACGTATCGCTCACTGATATTTCCCTGCACACTCGCACGTCAGGCTGTGAAAAAAGGTGTGTTTACGAGCCGTTGTTGTTTCTGCTCGGGTGGATATAGCGCTGTCTGGTAGGATAACCTTTAAAACGTGCTCACAAACATGCACTGCTTTGTTATTTATGAAGCAGCGACTCGTATTTTGTTGTGGCGCCGTGTCTGGAAATGATACGACTAAAGAAACGTGTGAATTTCTTTTTAAAGATTTTGATTCTGTGCTGATAATCTTGATGCAGTTTGAAGAGTCAGAACTTTAGAATAAACTCATCAGAAAGTCAGCAAATGCATCAAAGGCTGGAGTTCACCAATGCGATTAGTGAAGGAACTGCCTGTGCACGCTTCTTGAAGTGTGGAAACGCTTCTTGCCACGACTGTCACACTTGGCGATCTGAGCGAGGCCCTGTTGGTATACAGATGAGGAGTGGAGGGCGTGACCGGCGAGTGACGGCCAGGTCACAGGGCTTAAAGGCTCACGAGGAGGGAAGCACTAATCCCTGCAGGCTCGCCATTATAGCCGGTGTGCTGCAGAGAGTCCTGTGGATGAACAGAGAGAAGGGGGGGATGGGAGGAAGAAGGAGGGAGGAAGAAAGAAGTAGATGAAGGAATAAGAGAGATGTAGAGAAACAGGTGGAGGAGTAGTTGGTAAAGTAAAGGTGGATGAGGGATGGTGAATGGACTGAGAGACCAGAGGAGGAGGGGATGCTTGGACTTGAAGGTGACCAGAGGAAGGGGGAGGTAGATCCAGAGAAAGCGAGAGTGACGGAGGGACAGAGTGTGGGAGCGTAAAGCCGAGTGGAAGCAGCTTTTTCCATGATGCAGCTGTTTTTCTTCTCCATTCATGCAGCAGGCAGCAGCCTCTCGGCCCTGCTCGGCTCCTGTGCAGCTTTTAGTCGTTTCCTCTCTTTTGTTTTTGCTCTCGGCCGGCAATCGGTGCAGCCGGGGGGCCTCAGCAGCAGCAAAAAGCACCGCAGGATGTTGCTGCAGGGCTGAAAGATTTCGGCTAAATAGCTAAATTGTGATTTTTTTTGGGGATCTTTTTCAAACTTGGTCAAAAACGTGATGAGATATCATCAAAGCTGCGACTGTTGCACACAAAGGACAGCATGAATTTGTAGAATCACTGACATGACAGTTCAGATGTGCTGCAAAATGTACAAATCATGGCTGTTAAATAATTAAAACTGAGCTTCTATCAGTTAAACCGCAGCCTGATCCACACAGTGATCAGTGGGCAAGCCGGATCACCCACAAAGGTTCCAATCTGCACAAATACACACATTTGCATCTGTCTAATTATTTAAAAGCCACACCTCGTAAATCCTGAGCTGCAGCGTTTGCGATTTGCTAATTGTATTGTTTTAACTTTCAAGTTGATTACCACAAGACCTCGTGGTTCCATCAGCTCCTAATTCAATAAGGAGAGAGCAGACAAAAGTTTATTATGAAAAGAAAGTATTTTAGGAGATGAGGACTGAGCCCATCAGAGTCTAGATGCTGTTCTTGGTGAAGCAAAGTTTGCACATATCAAACATCTGAGACGCCATTTTTGTTTCTGACAACATGGTGACAACAGAAGTGATGAAGATAATAGTGCAGGAACCAATCTTCCCAACTGAACTCAGCTGGACGCTTCATTAGCCAACAACATCCTCTGAAAACCTCTGTTACATTCCCTGCAAGAATAGGAGATGAGGAGAGTAGCATTAAGATGTTTACTGGGGGGAAAAGCACAGTTTTATTTCCTAAAGAAGGATCAAACTGGTTTCCTACGAGCCACAGATCATGTAGTAAAAGATAAAGAGTGACAAAAAACCAAGAGCTGTGTAAAATACGTCCGGGTAGAATCTCAGTCATCCAGGTCGTTTTAATTCTAGGAGCTTCAGTGAAACGTTTTAAATAACAGCATGTTGAGTTTTACCACCAGTAACATCTTGAGCCACCTCTGACCCCTTCACAGCCAGTGTGGTAGTTGTTGGAACACCTGGTCCTGTAACTGTTCACGGCTGTAAAACATGGAATGTCGAACACCTTCCCTCCAAACATGAGTGAAGCACGCCAAAGCCTACCAACACCAGCACACGTAGACAGCTGTAGCATCAGTGAAGCAACTTCCATCAGCCTTTATAGTCCCAGAGGTGATGAGGAGGTGGAGACTCAGTTACCTGCTGTGACAGGGGACCAAGCAGCACCTGAGAGAACAACCACAACACACAGTACGGCACGTAACACCAGGAAAAGACAGGATGCAGGCCTGATATAAGCTACAGCGAAGGGGTCTGGCTTTGTTCATTGTACAGGGTTTATCACTTGACTGTGCATCCTCTCTGTCCTCCTCTCATGTTGTCAGCATCATACAACAAAAATAGAAAAAAATGGTAAAAGATCTGGTAGCAAAGGTGCTAGGAAAAAAAGCCCATGATGGATGAATATTTAACATTAAAAAGCTGTAAGAAAAGTGTGAAAATATCAGCAAACGTCTGTAACATCCTGAGATTTCTAACTAATTTAAATACAATAAAAGATTTTATAGTCACACATTGTAAGACAAGTAATATTTGTAAAAAAAACCCCTCATTTTTAGAGTAAAATTTTTTTTTGACACAGTCAGCATGTAAATGAATATTTTTTTTATATTAGTCGTTATTATCTGCAATATCACAAAACAGGACAAATCTTTAAAATAGCAGTTAACAAAATCTAAATATATTCTATATAACAGCAAACATTTGCAAAATCTATTTTTTGCAGATTTAAAGACAGTTGTATTGAGTGATTTTTAAATTTATTTTGCAGCCAGCATGTAAATGAATAACTTTTTTCTGAGCTTACTCATTATTATTTGAAATTTACTGCAACAAGGAAAAAGGTAGAAAAGAATAGTTTTAAAAAATATTTACCATTTTTCAGTCCTTAATGTCCTTTTTTATTATTAATAACAACAACAACAACTTAATTTTACTGTTAAATGTCGTAAAATGACCTATTTATAAAAATCTGGGTTTTTGATGTGGACAATATTATCTATTATCTATTATTATTATTATTATTATATTTTTTCAGAATGTAAATTAATAATTGTTTTGTGATTTTACTTACATTATTTGTAATTTTAAAAAAAATAGGAAAATTTGTAAAATTTTCAGTCCCTTATATACATACATTTTCTTTCAAATATCTGTAGAAAATATATATATTTGGATTATTTAAATACAGCAAAATAGGGAACTTTTGCCATCAGAGGACCTGTTAACAATATAATGCAGTATATCAACCACAGCCTGAAGGCTTCCTCTGCTGCCAGTCAGCTGATTTAAATAAACATGTCAAATGTGTGGATTCAAAGCTTCTGCTAACATTAATCTGCTGTTATAATATTGTGACTCTGGAGCTACGCTTTCTGTGTCATATGTTTCACTGTCTGCTGTTTGCTTTGTTTGAATAAAAGCTTAAATGAAAACAAATTAGCGCACAAGTTCTGGGATTTTTAAGGTAACAACACATCATTAATGCGCTGTTTGTTTTCTCCACAGATGGAAGAACTACTGGATACGAGGAGTTCTGTCTTTAGCCATGATTTTTGGCTTTTTCCTCATCATCTACATGGGACCCGTCACTCTTATATTAGTGGTGAGTTCACGGGCTGATGCTCTGTCTCGGTGCTTTTCAGGATTTTGTTTTCCAAAAATGTTTGATGAATACTGTTTTTCTTTGTGCTCTGCTCCCCGTCATCTGATCATAGGTCATGACCGTGCAAATCAAGTGCTTCCAGGAAATCATCACCATCGGCTACAGAGTTTACCATTCCTATGATCTGCCGTGGTTCAGGACACTGAGTTGGTAAGACGAATGGATGTCACAGTAGACGGCCGACGGAGTGGACGCCTTATTCTCATAATGTGACTGTTGTCTTGCTGCGAGACACATAAACAGGATGAGTGCTGGGTTTGATGGGAAAGCATTAGATCAGTGTTTTCAGCATTTCCTCCGTTCAGAGATATTTTAGAGGGTGGAAAATGTGTTTTTCAGACAGCAAGGGTGTGCATATTCTGTAAAATGTCAAAGGAAGTGAGGATGTTTCAGTGAATTTTACAGTCGGCTCTGGAACACAGCAACACTTTGTTTAGCATGAGACAGATATCAAGTCAGATTCTCTGTGAGTTACGTCAGCGGGTGGTATTTTTAAATTGCCTTGCATTCAGAGCTTTATTCTCTTGTTGGATTATCGAGCATCGGGGATCTCTCTGCTTATTCAGATGGCTCCTGATTTAAGTCAGATGTATTTTATTTGGACTAAATTGACTCCTTCTCTAAGACGTTTAACATTTGACATGTTCAGCTTTTTTGTTTTTCTAATAAGAAAATGTGTTTTATGCAGAAGCACATACCTCAAAGTAACATTAAGAAAAGTATTATTTGGTGTCTGATCAGTAGTTTGGCTGCACAGTTGAGATAATCAAGATTATTCAGTGTTTTGTTTTTAAATTGCACTTCCACATTAAAACAAAGCAAAGCACTTCTTTTATTTCTATGCTGTACTACCTTCCTGCGAATGTGCAAATATTTCGGATTAAAACATGATTTGAATTCAGTGCACTAGGACGCAAAATGTAAATATAATTGCTGAAACTGTGCTTATGGGTAGATGCTACCGAAGTTCCCTAAACACCTCACATGCAGGCTACAGTAGAAGCTCGCTGAGCAGCAGTGCATAGAGAAGCTTCTAGTCTCCAGAGTGTCTGTAGGGCAGCAACTCAGTTGGATGTGTGACAGAAAGCTAATTTGAATAAAGTAAAATAAGGCGTCCTAATGACAGATTTACCCAAAGTGAAGCCAAGTGATTTTATCTACATGGTAGTATTGAAAATTTCCACTCATGTGCTGCAGTCATAGCCGCAGGTTATCTTAGTGTGAGGCCCGTATTCCTTCTTTATGGCACTGTGGCATGTAAGGAGATTAAATAAGTCAGGACAAGCTGTATTTCCCATTTAAAGGCAGCACTTAGTCACCTTCTCTGGCAGCCGCACTTCATTTAACTTGAGTAAAACGCTGACTCCGGTCGTCTGCAGGTAGTTTCTCCACATACCCACGTTTTCTCCCCACAGCGACTGAGATTTGTGCTCCAGTGTTTTTTTGTTAACACTTTGCATACACGCCCGCGGCCGGGCTTCGGCGCGGCCAGGAGCAAAGATCGCTGCCGCGCTGGAAGTAAATGACGGCTAATTGACCGAGGCCACCCACTCGTAGCCACCCTTTACAAACACACACACACCGCAGGTCAATGTGCAGTGGGCAAGAAGCACCGGTAGACTCGTAAACCGAGTGACCCACACAGCACACATCCAGGAGTTTATCTGACGTGAGCACAAAGAGAGGGGCTCCTGCATCCAGGAGAAACATACAAAATCTGGGTATCATTTAAGAGTCATTTAATGGTTTTTCTCAGCTGCACAAAGACCTGAAGTTCAAAAAGTAGATTCAAACTGGAGCAACATCTGGGTTTAATTCGAGAATAATTTTGGGGATTTTTCTCAGCTGCATTCAGACCTTAAGTTTAAAATAAAAAAAGCTCAACATGTCACCTATTTAAGTATTTTATTGTTCTTTTAAAAGTTTAAAATGGAGCATATTTCTAGGAATATTTTCAGGATTTGTCTCAGCTACACTCAGACCTCGAAGCTCAAAAAGTTGGTTTAAACTGGAGCAAAATTAGTATTTTATTTGAGAATATTTTTAGAATTTTTCTCAGCTACACTTAGACCTGAAGTTAAAAGAGAAAAAGCTCAACATGTCACCTATTTACCTACATTATTATTCTCTCAAAAGTCCAAAATGGAGCTTATTTTTAGTAATATTTCAGGGCTTTTTTAAACTGCACTAACACCTGAAGCTCAAAGACAAAAAGTTCAAATTGGAGCAAAATATGTTTTTTTATTTGAGAATATTTTCAGGACTTTTCAGAGCTGCATTCAGAACTGAAGTTTAAAAGACAAAAAGCCCAATATGTCACCTGTTTAACTACATTATTGTTCTTTGAAAAGTTCAAAATGGAGCAACATCTGTGTATGTTTAGGAATATTTTAAGTATTTTTCTCAGCTGTGCTCAGACCTAAAGTTCAAAATGTAGATTCAAATTGGAGCAAAATTTGTATTTTATTCGAGAATATTTTGGGGATTTTTCTCAGCTGCATTCAGAACTGAAGGTTAAAAGACAAAAAGCTCAATATGTCACCTATTTAACTACATTATTATTCTCTTAAAAGTTCAAAATGGAGCAACATCTGTGTATGTTTCAGAATATTTTCAGAATTTTTCTCAGCTGCACTCAAAGACATTCTAGGTGTAAATTAGGAATATCATCTGGACTTTTCCTCGTCTCATAATGCTGCTGTGTTAGTGTTTGTGTCTTATTACCAACACAACACGTATCCAACAGTTATTCTGACATTACCACAAAAAGGAAGCTCCTGCATGGAGTATAAACACAGGAGGAAATAATGTAGAGAATGTGTTTTGCTTCGCCTCAGGTACTTCCTGATTTGCGTCAACTACTTCTTCTACGGGGAAACGGTCGCGGATTACTTCGGCGCCCTGGTGCAGAGGGAGGAACCCCTGCAGTTCCTGGCTCGCTATCACCGCTTCATCTCCTTCGCCTTGTACCTGGCAGGTGAGTCCAAGACAATGCGGCCGCTGTAATCACAAAACACACTCGCTCTTTGGCCTCTCCGCCTCCACTCACGTTTTCTCTACGGGCCGGGATCAGATTTCAAGCAGACACGCTGTGTGCGTTGTAGAGTTGAGTTACAAATAGCATTAGAGAGGAGGAAGCAGAACACAAAGAGAAACACAAAGACCTTCAGGGAGACGCGTAGTTAAAAACTAACTTGTGAGTTTACAAAGTGGCACGAGCTCATGTTGTCTTTACGTTTAGTCTTTAAGTCGCTGATAGGAGGGTTTATTGCTCTGGTTATAAGCAGCCGGATGCGTCGTAAAAGTGCAAACACTGAGCTCCGTTTGTTATCAGGATACTAATGATTTACATACATTAAGCATTAAAAGAGGTGGAGGTTAACAATTAAAGCCTCTCTGCTGCTAAAGCCTTTTCTAAAGTGGATAATACCGGCATTTTTAAATGTATAATAAATTAAATATTCTTGATTTTACCTCTAATATCAACAGCATACCAGTGTTTTAACATTTTTTAATGATGTCTTTGTTTATGATGAGGTCAAATTAAAGTTACATTCCAGATATTCTAAGGTTATCACACTTTATTGCTTTCAAAGTACAGCGCTAAATGTATGTTCTTGTGCAAGTTTAACCCTTAAACGCAGAGCTGCACGATTATTTATATATAAATGTTGATAAATGATTTTTATCGAGTAAAAAGCTGACAGAAGACTCAGCTGCGTATTAAATCAGAAACTTCCCAAACCAACAAGCAGCCACCAGGGAGCGATTGAGAAACTCTGGCTTCATTTTTGAGGAGGCTCAGCAAAAACTTTCCTGCAGCTCCAGTGGAAAAAGTTGATGTAGAAAAGAGAGCAGACGGGCAAAATCAGTGGAGCAGAAGGTTCAAAATGGATCTGTTGCTGGGAAACATTTTAGATTTAGGCCGAGCGATGTTAAGCAACAACAAGTTAGCATCCTGTGTCAACTCAGCGA